CATGCCCACCTGAGACATGGTTCAAATCATGTCCAACATGATTTACAGTGTTCCTACAGGCATGGAAAACTTGGAAATGCATGGATTTTTTTTTAATTTTCAGATTTCCAGACCTAAAAAAAAATGTTATAATGAATAATATACATTGTATTATATAATAAAAATATTACATATATAGATATATATATATATAGATATATATATATATATATATATATATACACACACACACATATCATTCAGTATATCCACTATATTGAGCTCTGCAGTAATTCTGATGCAACTGAATATAAAAGCTGTCTTGTGTTTTGTTGTTTTGTCCTGATTTCTTAATAGAATTTAAGAGTCTCTGAGTGAGTCCTGGTTACACATACAGGAGCACTGGTGTAGGTGCTTTTTAATGGTTTATAAGGCATCTGTTCCAGTGCAAGAAAGATTTTAGAGAGAGCTGATAATGTCCTCCAGGGACGGCACTTATGCCCTTCAACTGCCTCTGCCTCTGTCAATAAGGGCTTTACAGAACGGTTTCGTTTCCGCTGAGTAAGAGGGTGAAAGAAAGAGAGAGACAAAGTATGAGCGTGATAAGAGAGTGAGAGAGAAAGAATGGGGGCTGGTAGGTATGTATCCTAGGTCTACTGAGCAAAAAAGTGAAGCCTCATCACTTCCACTCAGAAATTCAGCTGATGCTGCAGAGGCTCTTAGCCTGGGTCATGCTAATGTGAAAACAATCAGACAGCCTTTCCAAAACCGCTCAGTGTGAGATGGCCCTACACTCAGTGTAAGTAATTTTCACAATCACTACATGTTTGTCTTCAAGCTTCAAGACATCAACAAGCGGCTGACAGGAGTGGTCAGTCTGACGCCTGAGCTCTTTACCCCAGTCAACCAGTAAACATTTCAAACTGACTGAGTCAAAGGGCCTTAAACACTCCCACACAGTTTACTAGCGCTAACAGTGGCCATTCCTTCAGCACTGTGTTTCATAGAGGACAGTGGCGTGAAGATCCCTGTAATTTAACTCCAACCAGATTTACAGTGTGCGTTTTTTGGTCCAAAGGGATTCATTTAAGGTGGGTATGGAGCAGTAAATCAGGGTGTTCCTCAGAGGGGACCTTTCCAATTAGTTTAGTCCAGAGACAGCGATGTAAATCTTACCCCCTTCACTCCCTTTAGATCTCCTTTGAGCAGAGAGTCCAGGGTGAAGATGACATTGTGGCTGAGACTCTGGAGCTGAGGAGAAGAATCAGAGGAGAAATCATACAGCTTGTGATCAGAAAACTTTACAATAAATAAAATAAATAATAAACATGTAAAAAATAATAAAATAAAATAAAATATTAAGACTAAGAAAATAATATAAGATTAAAACAAAATAAAAATTCCACTATCCCTTACCAGGTTCTTGAGGAGAGCGGCCAGTTCCTTGATAAGGCCAGAGAACTTGATGAAGGCTGTTCCCAGATCAGAGCTATCTCGGCTGATGAAGTTGCTGCCAAACTTGTCCAGTGCCTGCCCGTAATTCTCTTCATTCTGCACATGCTCTGTAGAGAATAAGAACAAGCCATGCATATTATTATAGGATTGGAATATATTTTATTTTAAAAAATGAAGTGTGTAATTTCTGCACCACTAGAATTACCAATGGAATTGCAAAATAATAACTTCAATAATGTTTTCAAACACGTTGCCTGAACACTCCATCAATCCCACAGCAGATATTTTACTCTTATTTTGTCGCTGTATCAACCTATGAATGCATACCTGTCTACATATTAAGCAGACATAGGAGAAAGTAAATAAAAAAAGAAAAACCACACACTCAGCTTCAAGAATTTATAACCTAACTTCGCTGTATCAGCCTATGAATGCATACCTGTCTACATATTAAGCAGACATAGGAGAAAGTAAATATAAAAAGAAAAACCACACACTCAGCTTCAAGAATTTATAACCTAACTACTGATTAACATAAAAACCACAAGACTAATTAAAAATGACCCTATTGGGTGGAGTCATGTCATGTCAAAATGGTGTCCATTTCTAAAGTTAGGATAGTTGGTCACCCTCATAGTTGTCTCATAGTTGGACAACCCAATAGTCACCCAAAAATGAAAATTCTGTCATTAATTACTCACCCTCATGTCGTTCCCAACCCAAAAGACCTTCATTTATCTTCGTAACACAAATTAATATATTAATTAATATATATATATATAATATATATTAAACAAAGGAAGAAAAGAGAATTCCACAATTCCCTGTACATTTGTCAACTAGGACAGCTTTCTGTGTAAATCTCAGCCCACAGGATGTAAACTAAACCAATAATAGCCCTTCCAATACAAACATGCGGGCACAGACAGAGAGTGTCAAGGTCATCAGCACCCACAGGAAAATAATGCAGGTGCCCATTAACAATTTGTCCATACCAAAAAAAAACATCCACACACGAAACAGTCTTTTGTTTGATAAAGAACATGAAAAGAAGTTCTAACATTACCATCTCTAGAGCCGTATAAGTTTAGGGTCTCCATATATTAGGAAACAGTATTGACACCACCAGCATCTGGGACTGATTCATCATCTTCCCATAGTTCCACACTGGGACCCCAGCCCATGACAGAGTGACATTATTAGGTCATTTGTCTTGCTGAGTGAAGCCAAGACATCTGGTACCCTGAAATAGGGGACTGTCACCTTCTGTAAATGAGCAGCTGGGAAGGTTTACTGCAGCCTTTTTTGACTCAGAGGAACCTAAGGGAACCTCAGAGTTTTAAAGGTGCTAATTTAAATTAATGTGTAAACTCTGTAAAAAATGTGTAAAAAAATTTTTTTTTTAAATAAATAAATAAATGAATAAAGAGTTGAGTTAATTTCTGACTGTTTATGTCCTTGTTACGATCGAAGTGTCTTACTCTTAGAACTTATACATTTCTCCCAAATGCACAAACTTCCATTTAAAAACTTATTTTATATTACTATTCTCTACATTTTTGAATAATAGAGAAGTCATCAAAACTATGAAATAACACAAAATGGAAGTTTTTCTGTTTTTATTTTCTGATCAGTGAAGCACTTTGCAACTTTGAGCTGCATTTTATGTATGAAAGGTGCTATACAAATAAAATTATTATTATTTTAATTTGATTTATATAGAACCTTTCATATATACATTAAATACAAAATAAACACTACTACTATTTATTATTAATATTAATTTCATTTTTAGATTTTATTCATAAATTACATACATTATAAATATAAATAACATATATTACTACTACTAATAATATTTATTATTATTATTTGCATAGCACCTTTCATTAATTACATACATACAGTTTTACATTATGTAGACATTTAATTACATACATTAGATACTAATACTTATATTAATAAAAATATAAGCCACTAGATTAAATAATAATAAAATCATTGCAAACATAAATTTTGTTAACTGTCTAGACTTCTGAAGATAAGTAGATCGTGCATGTCACAGACAGATTAAAAGATCGCAGACAGATCTAAACAAGACTGTAAGCAAAGTGACATAAGCAGACCTCTGCAACTCAACAGAGAATAAAAGCCCCATGCCAAGTGTCAAGAGCTCAGGTATTAATCATCAGGAGCCGATTAGAGTGCTTACTATACAGTCACATCTGATTAAGCAGGATCGTGACACAGAGGCCACCTGCAATGCACACAGCAGAGAGTCGATAACACAGCGGGAGCCGGTTTATATCCTCTGCCTGCCGCCCACAGTAACGCCCTGCACTTAATAGCATAACATGAGATGCTCCACACATCAGGAAGACAAGTGAGCAGAGTGATGTGCATCATGAGCAGCGACATTCAGCTGGAGCTGGTGTGATTTCATTCACAAACCGAAAAGGTGGCAACCTGTTGGCATTTGCTGAATCATGATGGTGATGTCTCTGCATCGCCGAAGAGGTGTAGAGAACGAGTGCTCTCTAAGGGATACTGAGGTCAGAGAGAGGTCAGCCAATCAATCTGATCAAGCACTGCAGCTCACAAGAGGAAGTCTTACATATCACATCACTTAAAACCACCACATGGAGATCTGGTACTCAGAAACAGTGGACTGTCACCTTCTATAAATGACCAGCTGGGAAGGTTTCTGGACCCAGAGGAACAACCTGAGGGAATCTCAGAGCATTAAAAGTGCTCATTCAGGGTGATTCAGGGCAAACCATTAATGAACCAAAAAATGTAGTTTCTTTTTTCTGACCATTTATGTCGTTGTAATCAGCTTTTAAATCTCTCCCAAATGCATGCACTTCCACTCAAAAGATTGGACAGACATATATATATTTTTTTTATTACTTGAAATAACACAAAAGCAAGTACTGTTGTGTAAAAAAAGTGCTCTTTCTAAAGTTTTTTTTAGTGATGTCAAATCAATTAATCACGATTAATCGCACCCAAAATAAAAGTTTATGTTTACATAATATATGTGTGTATTGTGTATATTTATATGTATATATAAATATACACACATACATGTATATTTAAGAAATATATGTAATATACATGTATGCGTGTGTATTTATATATACACATTTATTTAGAATTTTAATTTTGAAATATATTGTGAAGCGCTTTGAGACTTTGAGCTGCATTTTTATTATGAAAGGTGTTTTAATAATAAAAATTATTAATAATACTATTTTAAAATTATTATTATTGTTATCAGTGGTAGTACAGTAGCAGTAGTATTGCTGCTATTAATAATAATAATCATTGTAATCATAATTTCTGGAATTACTTATTAATTTCTTGACTGGAAGCCCTGAATAATTAGGCTGCTTTTGATCCCAATCAAATGCAGTTCTTAAGACTCCTTTGATTTTAATAAACTCATAACAAGTTAACTGATCAAACAGCACAAGAGCCAAAGACATCTGTCTGAATATGTATGGCTGTAGCAGTGCTTTTATCATCTTTTTAGCCTTTTTATACTTTTATAGTCTAGTCCAGTGGTTCCCAACCCTGGTCCTGGAGGCACCCCAACACTGCATGTTTTGCATGTCTCCTTAATCAAACACACCTGATTCAGGTCATCAGCTCATTAGTAGAGACTCCAAGACCTGAAATTGATGTGTCAGAGAAAGGAGACATGCAAAATGTGCAGTGTTGGGGTGCCTCCAGGACCAGGGTTGGGAACTACTGGTCTAGTCGTCCATTGTGACCTATCTCTAGGTCACACAGCAGCAGAACACATTCATCTGTCCTGTTTTTGAGTCCTAAATGTACTTACATCCACACACTGTTTGGTACTCAATCTCCAGCCCTGATCCCAACTTTGCAAATGTCAATGTCTGACTCAATGACTGAGTGTAAATATTAGGCATTATGAGGCCTTTATCAAACAGGCACCGATATTTGGCATCTGGACTGTGTGCTTGGCCAATAGGAGAGGAATGACATTGAAGAGTTACAAGCTGATAAAGGGCAGAGAAGAGACTGGATGAGCCAAAAACCACTCATTAAATGGTCTGGAGGATTTCCTGACCTTTCATGCTGATTTACCCTAGAGGGCATGTAAGCATTCGAGTTTCCCTAGAAGGAATGGGGGAAGAGACGGTAGCAAGGAGCCTGTGAAAAGCAAGCGCTATGACTTCTCACTTCAGGATTGTCGGTTAGAGTAGCACTTCACCAGGAATTTGTCAATTAAACAAGTTGAAAGTCCCTTTGACCTTTTTTACAGCTATGCATCGTATCAAAAAGTAACTTTCTCTGGAAATTTTGATTTTAATATTTCCAAAAGTAGCCTACTGTTGAAAAGCTGGGTCAAAACTCACCTTGACCCGAGTTGTAGATTGCTTTGACAGATTTCTTGACCTTTTGTAAAGCTGTTCGGTCCTGGTCCAAAGCCTGGAGAGGCAGACAAAAAGAGAAGAGAAGAGGATGGTTATAAAACACAGCTAAAAAAGGTCTGTGATTCATTTATGATTCATGATCTTAGAATTCCAGAAGAACTGCATCACTGGCCACACCTCGAGGGGCAAAACCAAACATTGGGAATCTGGAGGCATTTCCAATGCTCATATGGGCCAACAGGTGGAGAAAATGTCAGAGATATTCCCTGGAAGACCAAAATTACGACTAGAAAAGTAGCTTATACCCTTGTGAACTGCAATATTTATAATCTGATTAAAAGCAAGTCAGCCAACTAATAAATGAAATCAACATTGGACAAGATCTCCTCAGAAAAGACAGCCTAGAGTGGCTAGACAATTTAACATACCAGTGACAGACCCTTGACATGCAGTTTCCTAGCAACCGCGGCAGCACGCGCTTCATTGTCTTGAGGTGGATATCATTTCAAAAATCAAAACCGCTGTGAAACTGAGAGCGTAGCGAACAGAACATGCTCCTGAGGGTCTCAGCTCATGGAAATCTCATCAAATATTTTGATGAATGACAGTAAACAACAGGGTGTCAACGAATCCTGTTTCCTCCGAGCAGCCCACTGACCTTCTATCTACTTGTTTCTATCTTTAAAAGAAAGAAACCATGTATGAATTGCTGGGAAACATGTAAACTCTTTGCTTTACTCTTATACACGCTTTGAACTTGTGTCCTGGCTGATGTCCTCCTCCCTCCTTGATTCTATCAGATGTGTGTCACTCTGGATGAAAGAGAAATTATGCAAGTGTACAGAATATAGGCAAGCTGACTCAGGAAAAAAAAAAAAAAAGTATTTTGTGAATTGAATTTGTAGTGCATCATAATGCATTCATGTGCTCTGTTTCAGCTGGTGGCTAACAGATGTGTGTCCTAACAGCCACAGCTACCATCACAAACACACTCCTCCCAAACACACACACACACACACCCAAACGTACCCAAAAATAATCTGTGGTGTCTTTAAAGAAGCCCTTCAATGGTGATTAATGAGAAAGCCACAATTTGAAAGCAAATCCCTCAACATTCACGACAGCTCTGAAAATAAAAAGTACAGGGGAAATTTTAAAGGCCTTGGTGAATATTGATACATATGAACTACTAAATTAATGTATTTACATGCTTTATCATGAATTGTGAAGTTATTAGAATAATCAGTTATACATGTACGCTACTCTTACTTGGAATCAGTAGGATTTGAAAAAAATGAATACTACTATTTTGCAAGGACATATTCAATTGATCAATTTTAGAATTTTCTATTTCAAATAAATGTTTCAAGTTTTGTTTTTTATTTTCCTAAATAAACTTTCCATTCATCAAAAAATCCTGAAAAAAGTATCAAGGTTTCCACAAAATATATTTTTCAACATTGATAATAATAGGCCATGTTTTCTTGAGCAGCAAATCAGCATATTAAAATGATTTTTGAAGGATCATGTGACAATAAATACTGAGTAATGGCTGCTGTAGCTTTACCACCACAAGAATAAATTACATTTTAAAATACATTACAAAAGAAAATCATACATTTTAATTAAAAAAAGTTTTTAAATTAAATTATAATAACATTTCAGAATATTATTATTACTCTATTTTTGTTTAAAGGGGTCATATGATGTTGCTAAAAATAACTTTATTTTGTGTGAGTGAGTGGTGGCGGGCGGGCTTGAGAACAAGGCGGGCTTGCGGCAGCAACATGTGACAACCTCGGGCTGTACTCCACTTCGTCCACGGTGAAAGCCGATCTGGCGATCCATAGCGCGAAGTTGATGTATTTCCTCAGAAACCAGCACGGATCAGCTCCAAGCATGACGAAGCGGATATCGTCCTCTTTTGGAAGGCCAAACAAAGTAGTTTCGCTTTCACAACGAAACACATGGCAACAACACTACAGCGAGAGTATTGTTAGTGTTAGAACGAGCCGATCTCTATCTTTCTGTCGCTCGGCTCGGCTAATGTCCGTCCCATGCACTGAACGCGCTCTCCTCCACATCACGAGTAGACACGCCCATTATTGCTGATTGGCTACAAGTTTGTTTTGCGATTCGGCCCGAATCAGTTTTTAAAGCGTTTTTGAAAAATCCCTCACTCTGCCTTTAAATCACTTACTCTGCCTTTAAGTTAATATTGTTTGTTTTCGTTTGAAATCAAATGATAATTATCAGACCCTGCAGCAGCAAAACTCTGCTGAAGAATCATCATTTCTATAATTTGCTCTACCGTTGAGATGTGATGTTAGTTAAATCTAATCAGACGCAAATCCATCCATTTTAAATATGAAAAAGGGACATAAAATGTGAAAGACAAAAACAGCAGTTTTTAAGTTGCCAGGAAAACCCTGACAGGAAACATGTCATTTCTAATCCAGTCTGTAGACTGATGTCCTGCTATATGTTTAGAGATGAGTTGTGTTTCTATAAACCACTCACTGTGTTCATGTACCTCCTCCTACAGTGAACACAAGGCATGCTGAGGCAGAGGAATAATGAGCATTTGCACAGCTGTGGCACACTGATCAAGAACCTGTGGTGATGGAAGTAGTAGTTCTGAGCCACTCATGTGATAAATGATTTCCCTCTGTGGCCATTCTCTCATTTTCTTGCAGCTATGTTTGGACATCGGTACACCAAAATTGGACTGCCCACTGTGATCGGGGGAGAGACAGACTCGTCAGGTCGAGACTCTTCAGAGCTTTTTTTATCCCCGGTCATTTCCCTTGTTATTTCATTGTTATGAGCTACAACATCCTGTAGCTATATAGCAGGATTTAAAGGAACATTGGGAAACATCAAAGTTGTAATTGGAAACGAGCACTTACAATTGGTTACATCCATCGTTTGTTAAAAGTGAACAGAAAATCATTTTTAGTAATGCACTTAGCAGTAGTGTTCATTTCGTCAGCTATTTTCAATTTAGTCTTAGTCCTTGGTAAAATGTGGTAAAGTGTCCTTGTTAGTTTTTATCATATTTAGTCAACCTTATCCTATTTAGTTTTAGTCAATTTTAGTCGACTAAATGTCTCAACATTTTAGTCTAGTTTTAGTCCAAGAAAATATAAAGTATTTTAGTCTAGTTTTAGTCAAAGAAAACCTGAAGTATTTTAGTCTAGTTTTAGTAAATGAAAACTTGACATTTTAGCAATACGATTATTATTAATTAACCATACAGCATAGGGATGTAACGATTAACCGCGAGCCGGTTGAAAATCGATTCAAATATGTGACGATTCAAATTGGTTGAGATGCTAAACAAATCGCGATTCATTTAGGTGTAGGAGTTTATATGAATGCATGTCTGAGGGGAACTTACTGTCTTTAGAAAAGTTTAGATGGTATTTTCTCTATTCATCTTGCCTCTGTATAATGCATATTAAAGTTCATAAGTTCAGCGCTGCTTTGTTTACAGCGGAAACCAAGGAAACGCTTTAAGCGCCACCTGCTGGCAGAGTGAATCTGCGTCTCATTCAGCTCGTCTGCTGTTTGTTTCATTCAGATATTTTTATGTATAGTTTCACAAAACTGAAGTCAAACCATTCTGTTTCTGCTTCAAATTTCGAAATTATACAATTTAATTTAGATTAAAAACTGCTCATGTTGTATATATGCAGCATCTTTGTTTGGATCATGATTAAAATGCAGTGGTTGCCTCTAATTTTAAATGGAAAGAGCACAGACAAAGCCTTATTTTGTTTATATGAAGAGATTTCTTTTATTTGTGTTACTTATTTATTTGATTTGGGGCTTGTTTTAAAATTTCAATTTAGTTTTGTTATTTACATTTACATTATATTTAAATTTTGTCATTTAGCAGACGCTTTTGTCCAAAGCGACTTACAAATGAGGACAATAGAAGCAATCAAAACCAACCAAAAAGCAATAATATGCAAGTGCTATGTTAGTATATTATTATAGTGTTATATTTCAATTTCACAAAGAAATGTGCAGCATTTTGTCCAAGCAATAATAAAAGGACACATTGAATTTATCATTTGTCTTAAATCTCATTTTGTAAAAAAATAAAATAAAATCGTGAATCGAATCGAATCGTGAGTTGAGTGAATCGTTACATCCCTAGTACAGCAGTATTCATTTTGGCAGCCATTTTTAATTTAGTCTTAGTCTTACTCAAATGTACATTTTAGTTATCATATTCAGACAACCTTGTCCTGTTTCTGTTTATTCAATGAAATGTACAAACATTTTAGTCAGGTTTTAGTCAAATCTTAGTCACATTTTCGTCATTCTGTATAATGGTTAAACTGACAAAAATTATTTTTTTCTCAAAATTATAATCGTAATGTTTGTTGTCATTTGAGAGATTTACTTTTGCATTTCAGGTATTGCACTTTCACCAGTAAGCACTAATCAATAGAATGTGGACATAGGCTATATGGTGTATTTTACTTCATCTAGTGTACTGATTTATTATAGGCTTTTTATTATATAAATTAATACCAAAGACTTGTGCAATCTCTCTGTCTAAATTATGAATACAGCTAAAAGAAACGAAAAATATTATAACAGTGAAATTAGTAATTCCACTAATTCCAAATGGCAATAGCCTATTTCTCTTTTAAAACAACAGCGATTGAGAAAGTGCATTTATTCAGCGATCACAATCGCAAACAATACAGTCGAGGTCTCATGACAGAACACTGACCGGCTGAATGACGCTTTCATTTAGATCGCTAAACTCCAGCTTGTTTGTCAGTGTTTTCAGATCATCGGCGGCGGCAATTATGCAAAGAGGAGTGAGCGCGTGCGCATGGTTGCCAGATTACTTAAATTAAGCAAAACACCGGGCAGAAAATGTATCAATGTAACAGCGAAGCTCTGATTCGGGGATTTTAACTCTCAATATCTGGCAACCGCACTCATGAAAGCTCGCCTAGCAGAGGCGTGTAGAGCTGTGCAATAACATTTTGTCTCCTTTTTTTGACGAAAATAAAAAGAGGTTTTTGGTAA